GATGGACACATCGCCGCCCCGCTCCGCCCCCAGACGACATGGGAAACCCTTGCACCCCTGATGTCTCATTGACTTTGGATGAGGCGGGTGTGGGCCAGCTCGCAGAGACGAGGAGGGGGTGTCTGTGTCTGTCTAGCTAGGATTGCATACCACGAACCATGTACACTACCAATGTAGTCTTTCGTGTCGTTCGGAAACTTCCGTATGTTTTTTTTAAATTGTAGAAAAATTTGCGCGACTATCTCCTGAACGATTTGGTAAGAGTTTGCGAAGAAAAGAAATGCAGAAATCATATTGGAAATTTGTGATAAATCGTCATTTACCTACAGCACTCAAAACTGAAGGAAGTATTTTCCAGTGTTGCCAGTCCCTATCCACAGAGAGGTAGCATGGATGCTCGGACGCAGCAACCGAACAGTGTTTTTGCCGCTTTTGTTTCAAACAGAAAGAAGACAAAAAAACTCGTGGTCCATTTACGCAATCGCCCCCCTCGCCCCCGTTTCCCCTATCTCATTCTCCTCCAGTTCGTTGCGCAAGCCTGTCACGTAACTCAATGTTCCGTTCTGTGTGTTCCAGGGGTTCCAGGTCAGGCGCTCTGGCAACGCCTCCTCTCCACCCGCCAATAATTCCATGTGAGTCCACGCACACACGTGTCTGTTAGTGTTGTGTTGTTAGATATTTTTATTTTCCGGAAGATTTAAAGTCCCCACCTCCCCTAAAAAAGTTTTTTTCCTGAAAATATTTGGGGGAAAATAAAATAAGGGGCTCTTTTCAAAACTTTCGTTATTTGCTCTTTTTTTTAATTTTTTCCGCAACTTTTCCTGTTTCTTTTTCGGCCTTCAATCTTTATGTTGTGTGTTTGTCTCCCAAATTTTGGCATTCAAAAAATTTTTGAATGCCAAATTTCAGTATTCTTTCCAGCCATTGACGTGTGAGCCAGTTGTCTACGTGTGTGTCCAAAATTTTGGCGTTGAATTGAAAAAAAAAAAGATCACGTTCTGGGGATCGAGCTGCGGTGCCGTGTGTCAGGGAGTGGTTCTCAAACATTTTATTAAGCAGCAAATATCAGACTATGACTACACTGGTCAACGAAGTGTGCAACTGCATAACACTGCTTGCAAGTGTGCAACTCCTTATTTGAACACTTTCTACACAGTACGCGTTGAATCTAAGAAAGTGCTTAATTAAGGGGTTCCACACTTAGTTTATCAGTGTAAACGCAGTGTAAAGAGCTTTTGATCCTAGGCGTGTTGAAACACTCGTTATCGTTTGGTCTTAATTTGTCCCACAAACAAATAAAAGATAACAAACTCGTAGATATTTTTTGTTAAAATGTAAAAAAGCACAGCCCGTGCTTCGTTGAGCGCGTTGGTGGGCCTGCCCTCGTCCCGGCCACACACGGGCTCCCCAAATCTCAAATTAACGTCGTCATACACGCAGATCCAGATGAGTTATCGGTGCGGGTTAGAGCAAACAGGCGATGGAATACGGGATGCGGAACAAAAGAGCTGCCCCCCCCCCTCTCTCTCTCTCTCTCTCTCTCCCTCTCTCTCTCCCTCACACACACACACACACACACACAGACACACTCCCTGAACTCATCATCGCGTTGGTGTTATTTTCTTTTTTCTTTTTTATTATTTTCTTTCTCCTTCTTTAGCCCTTCTTGGCTGCGGCCGGAGCTTTCGACCGACCCTTGGCCGATCTCGCCGGGGCGCCCGTCGTGGTGGTGGCGGCGGCTGCAAAAGGGAGGGCGTCGGCGTTACGTACATAGACACAGAGAGCGGGAATCCTTTGGGGGCACTGTTATGTATAATCCGTGCCACGTTCGTTTATACACATCCAAATGCTCACACTTGTTAAACACGTTTCGCGATACTTTTAACCAAAACTTGGCGATAACTACCCATACCAACTGGATTTTTATCTTTTATTCGCACAGATTTAAGCAAATCATGTTCTTTGCACACATTCCTGCGTTAATTTGAACTTTTTTAGGCTTTTTTTGGTATGAAATCATGTTTTTTTGCGCAAAAAAATTTACCAAAACGAAACGTAATAGATTTACGTTAGAGCGAACATTCACACAGAAAAATATAAATACTACATTTGGCGTGCACGCTAAAAACATTAGTGTGCATCAAAGGCCTCGTATTGCATTGTGGCCTCGCCAACAGTCATAGTCTCACCTCTGGCCGCGACTTCCTCGCCCGCCTCCTCGTCGTCCGCGACGACACCCGGAGTCGCCAGGACGGAGACGAGCAGCAGCACCAGGAACAGGGCGTAGAGGGAGCTAAGCCACTTCATCTCTGAGATATTTATGACCTGAAATCAACGTAAGAATGGACTGAATGAGATACTGCTGTTTCCTTTCCCGTGTGTTTTGTTCTTTCTTGTTTTCTTTTTCTGTTCCCAGTGATTTTTACTACTCTTTTACGTTTTGCTAGGAGGTTATTTTGAACTTCTTTGATTCGTTCCTGTTTTTCAAGACAGAGTGTTTTGGTTTGACATTGACACACTAACAGAATGTTGACATTGACACAATAATAATTATGAAATATATGGTTTCCGTTGCTGTCAATGTTCTAGCATTCATAGGTTAATTTGAAAAAGTTCCTTACCTAAATTCACTTACAGAACGGATTACAATCTACTCGGTAGTCGTGCTGTAATCAAACGTGGACATACTATGACAGAAAAAATCGCTATAGCTACTCCAAATGTTCATGGGCGCTTTTTTGCGCATGAATAGGTAAACGTCCGAACATTTTGCTACCGTTCATATCGGCACAAATGTGAGCCAAATGATTTGCCAAAGCGCTTGCTTGTGCCCGACATGAAAGTTTGTGTGTAGTTACAGTTATGCAGATGCGCATGTGTGCAAAATGCGACAAGGGAAGGCCCTGTGCGCGCTACGTCGTCAACTCACCCGGCGGAGTCGCGTACGGCAAAGCTGGGCTGCTAGAACTGAGAGCCCCACTCAGCACCGGGTTCTGTATATGAGGGGGGAGGGGAGGGGGGCGGCATTGTTCATTGTGAGCGCGTATCACTTCTGGCTCGAACGGTGCCACTATCGTGCACTCTGGGAAATACGCGGTATGGTGGATTTCATCGCGAATTACGTTGAACAGTACGCTGCTGCGACACTGTTAGCGGGGCTGTCGATATTCTACAGTAACGGTGTATAAATATGGAAAATTTCCAGAAAATTTCAGGAAAATTTCCAGGGAAAAAGTTACATTTAAAGGATATTTACGGGAATTTTTCGGAAATTTTCCGGAAATTTTTTGGAAATTTCTAACCCTAAAATGACCACAGTTTGCGTGGTCTGCCTTTCCTGTGTACTGCCGTGGTTCTAAGACGGGAGATGGGGGTCCTCCATACACGCCGAGCTCTATCGCCAGAGAAGACCACCGCCGGAGTCTCCGCAAGCGGCAGGGGGTCAACGCCGGAGCGGGGGGA